AATGCTCACTTCACTCGGCATCAAACCATACAAGTCTTTCCAGGTTTTTCTGAAGTCAGCCTGTTCATCATTTCTTATAGCACAATAGTATTCTATTACATTCATATATCATATTCACAGTTATGATAACTATCTGTGTCTTTCTCTCCATCCCCCCTCCTTTATGCTTTTCTTTCTCCTTTTCCCTCCTCACTAATGTTTTGCTTTTGACCACCACCTTCCTCAGTCCAGCCTCCCTTCTATTAGCCCCCTCCCTTTTCTTTCCCCTTTTCCCTCCTATTGCCTATAGGGCAAGTTAGATTTTTGTAACTAACTGCTTATGTTATTCCCTTCTTGAGTCAAACCTGATGAGAGTATGGTTCAAACAATGCTCATCTCCCTCCCTTCTTTCCCTCTGCTGTAATAGGTTTTTGCCCTTTTCCTGTAATGTAATTTACCCTTGTCTGCCTCCTTCTTTCCTTTTCTCTCAGTACATTTGCGTAGTTAGATCAGATTAATCCACTTACTTGGATCCTTTTAACCTACTTGATTAGATTTTTTTAAATCATTATATCAAAGTCAATTTATGCCCACCCCCTTTATGTATACCCTTTTAACATGGTGTAATAGCAATACAGTTCTAAGAGTTACAAGTGTCATCTTTCCTTGTAGGGATGTAAAAGTTTGCCCTTATTAGTAACAATGTTGTTTCTTTCTGTCCCGTTTACCTTTTTATGTCTCTCTTGAGTTCACCCAGACTTTTAAAAACAGATTTTTATTGCTATGTTTTGTTTGTATGTCACCTAGATTTCCCCCTTCCCGACTCTCCCAGAGAGCTATCCTTCATAACAAAAAAGAAAGAAAGGAGGGAGGAAAAAAAAATCATGAATATATCTGATTTTATATGCAATGTTCCATACTGTGGACCCTCACCTCTGCAAAGGAGTTGAGAGAGCCATATCTTCTCCTGTCTGTTCTTTGGGGCCAAGCTTGTTTTTTATAATTTGGTAACATTCATTTTTCTTGTTTTTGCCATTTACATTGTTGTAGTCATTGTGTACATTGCTTTCCTGGCTTTGCCTACTTCCCTTTGCATTAGTTCATGTAAGTCTTTCTAGGCTTCTCTGTCATATTTGTCATTTTAGCACAGTAATTTCATGTACCACAGTTTCTTTAGCTATTAATACCCTGATTGATGGGCATCAACTTTGTTTCCCATCCTTTGCTTCCCCCTCCCCCCCACAAAAAAAATATGCTGCTATAAACATTTTGATCATCTAGACTGCAAATGCAGGGAGAATTGGCATCATAATTCATTGAAACGTCTGCTCATTGTAAGAGCCCTTAAGTAGCAATGATAACTAACATTTGTATAGTCAGTCATGTAAAGTGCTTTTAAAGTTTGCAAAAGGTTTTATGTGTATTATCCCAAGCTCTAAAATAGAATTATTATCCTCATTTTAAACTGAGGTGGAGAGGGGTTAAGTGACATACCTATAATACAGCTAGTAAAGCATCTGAAACAAGGTTTGAACCCAGGTCTTCCTGACTTCAGGTGCTTTGTACTACTAAGGCCAGCTGTTCCTACATGAGCATAGTCTTTACTCTGTCCATCTCCCCAACCCCTTCCCAGGTCACCATTGTGGTCCTTGGCAACAAATGTGACCTCCAGGAGCAGCGTCGAGTGGACCCCGATGTAGCCCAGCACTGGGCCAAGGTGGAGAAGGTGAAACTGTGGGAAGTGTCTGTGGCCGACCGCCGCTCTCTCCTCGAGCCCTTCGTCTACTTGGCCAGCAAGATGACTCAGCCCCAAAGCAAGTCAGCCTTCCCACTCAGCCGTAAAAACAAGGGCAGTGGCTCCTTGGATGGCTGAGGCTTTCCTTCTCACCCACCCACCCCCTGCCTCAGCCCCACCCTATCCCAATCCTACCCTCCCCCCCAACTCCTTGGGGTTTCAGGTAATTGGGGAAATGGGGGGGGGGCAGAGTAAGATGGGCTTCCTGAAGTCAGCCTGGCAGAGGGCCACAGTGGTAGGTCACTGGGAAACATCCTGAGTCTCATCTCATTCCATTGCTTCTCTTCCTTGGAGAGGAGTCGAAATAGTGCATGTTACTCCACAGCCCACCACCTCACTCCCCCTCACCCCCTATACTGTTGCTATCAGGCTGAAATCCAGTTTGAGAGCTGGCAGTGCCAGGAGATAGCCAGTTGATTGTGGTCCCATGTAAAAGGCCTCCAACAACTCCCAAGTCATGGCCCTTGGAAAAAGATAATCAAGCAGAGAGATTGGCATTCGAGGGAAAGGGAAGGAAGTCCTCCCTATCTCAGGAGGTGTCTCCAGTTCACTTGTGTTCTTCCCCTAAGAAGAGCCCAAGCCGCTGGAGAAACAGAAACTTCTCACTGAGTTACCTTTCCCCCTCCGGCTTATTCTATTTTTTCCTGCCCAGGGTGTATGGCCATGATATAGTATAAAGGACCCTCCACGGTGGGGGCAGGGTCCAGTCTCAACTGTCTTCACTTACTAGCAAAGTGATTTGGGACAAGGGACATTTCCTTTCTGGGCCTCAGCTTCCTTCCCTATAAAGATGAAAGAGTCAAGACTAAATGATTTCTAAACTCCTTCCGTTTAGACTCCTTTGCCTTTCCAGGCCTCTAGTTGTCTTCACCTATTAAAGTGCTCCATTTGTCCTTCAGCCACCAGGGGGCAGGAGCACACAGTCTATGTCAACTACTTTGAGGGCCCTCATGGTGGAGGGGAGGGCTCTCCCAGTAATCCGGACTGCTATAGACAGGGACAAAGTTTTCTGAACCTCCTCCTATCCTGGGGGGATAGATTTATGGCTTCTTAAAGGCTCCCCTTCTCCCCACTCTGGGTTTTTTTTTTAAGTTAATAACAACCTTCATCTATAGCCATCCTAACCTCCTATAATGAAGAATATATATGGCACCTCCCTCATATCTCATGGGGCCTGGAAGGACAAAGCAGACCAGTAGAAGCCCGTCAATGGCTCATCATCCACTTAGCATGTGTTTGTGAATATATGTGACATTCTATAATGTATTATGTGCTCCTGCTGACATCAGACACCCCTTTCCTAACATGAAGACACGTATCAGATGAAAGAATCACCTTAGGGTACTTTTGCAGCCTCCTTGCCCATTCCCAGAGCATCTTCCCCAACCCAGAGGAAAACAGAACAGGGGACTTGGTGGGGCAGAAGTTAACACAAATACACCACTAAACTCCAGACTCTTTTATTGATGAGTTTGACATAATAAAGCCACAATATCTTATTATTTAAAAAAAAAAAATCCCCCCTCCCCTTTTGTTGTTCTCTCCCACTGGAAACATCTGAAGAAAAAATAGCTAGGTGGAGGATACTGGCCAAGTCCCGGGAGGTAGGGCAGGGGATATCTTGAAAACAATTATTAGAAATCTTGGATCAGACTGGGTCCCACTACTCCAATTTTACAGACTAGGTAGATTTGGAGGGTGCTGTGGTCTGGGATGTGAAGGACAAGGAATGGCTTTTCTGAGGGAGGGAGGCTAAAGTGCATTGGAATAGAATGAGGAGGGGGTGGGGGGGGAAGAAAGGGAGAATGACTGTTATTGCTATAAGGTTTAAAAGACGCAGGGGGAACAGAAGGTGCTGAGAAGGCGCAGATGTTGGCCAGGCATGCATCCTGGAAGACAGAAGAGCAGGGCTTTGGCTAAGGGCAAAGTCTAGGATAGGAAGTGGCCTGGCTGATGCAGACTGGACTTTTTTCATAGCAAAGCCATAGAATGGACTACCATTTCCACCTATAGCTGACCTCTCCTCATTCATCCCATCACATTAACACATCCTTCTGAAAATGAAGCAGTCTTCTCTTTTCCCTACCTTAGCACTGCCCAGACTTACAAATGTCCTTCTCTTCCCCCCATTATACTTCTCTTCCCCAAGTCCACATTCTCCCTAAGGAGAATACTGCCCCAACCCCATCTTCCCCCCCAACATCCCCTTTCTGTGGTCCCCCAAAGAATTATATGCCCAGGGTGGAGAGGTCTTTTTGGTGGAAGGCATCCCATACAGGTCATAAACTTGTCGCTTGCCCTTGGGCCCTGGAGAAACATACTTGGCAAAGCTAAGATGCTCAGATTTAAGGGGTTGGAAACCCTCCAGTCACCCACATTGCAGGGGCTGGGGTAGGTGGATAACCAAATTTGCTTCCCTCTTATTTCCCTTGAAAAGTGAGAACACCATGGAGCTGGCTTTGGAGATTTTGCATAGATTGTTGGGGATCTGGGACTGGGGAGACCTTGGCTGTAGACTACAGGGCCACCATAACTGGAGGGAATGGATGATTGATAGAGACACCTGGTTCCTCACCCCCACAATGGCAGGGGGTGGTTACCTCCTGTGAGCTGGAAGTGTGAGGCATAAGGTCAGATTTAGAGTCGGAAGAGACCTTAGAGGCCACCTCCTTCAGTCTTTCGGAAAGGGAGAAGATGATGCTGACTCTGAGACTGGGCTTTGTCTTCTCCCCATCGGAGACCACTGGTGGTAAAGAGACACTGCTCCGTGGCCATGGAGACAGGAGACAGGACTGCCGGGGAGTTAGGTTTGGCCTCCCCCAGGGAGGATCAGTATGGAGCAAAGACAATGGGCCCAGTAGCTGGGCGGACAGCTGCTGCTGGTGATCGGAACAGGGCAGGGCCCAGCATCGGGGCTGGGAAGAGGGTGGTAGCAGCGGCTGGGGCTGGTCGGAGAGCCAAGGGCCCTGGAAGGGTGCATACTGCAGCAGTAGGGAGGGGGCTGGGCAGGAATCGGGCTGCCAGGGTCTTGGTAAGTTGCTTCTGCAGAGCCAGCTTAGACTACAGGAAAAGATACAGAGAGTTTATTACTGCACGAAATTACCCACTACCACCTGTCCCCCATCCTTCCTCCCTAGACTGGGCTACATGAAAACATGCTTCCCAATCTTATTTCCTCCTCCTTCCTCCTGCCCCCTCTCCCATAAGTACATGAACCAAACTTTCTTCTCCATCACCTGTCTTCCTGTCTGGGGGTGGGGATGGGAAACCTCAGGAATTTTTAAAAGGGGTGAGAAAGGGAAGATGGGTGGCTGGGGATTGTTTCCAGGGGACCCTTGCCCAAACATACACCCACCCCTCACTTGCATGCCCTCATAGCTGGTGCTCCATCCCACCTGCCGGAAATTCCTGAGCACAGCCTAAGACAACAAAAGGCCAAACTCATCTTCCCTTCCCAGGGCAGGCTCAAGAAAGGGGTTTGCTTCCTTCCTGCTGCACCCATAAAAGCTTCTCTCTAGTCAAGTGTTCTCATTGCTACCTCCTAATGTCTCTCCCTGACACTATCCCTTCCTACCCACCCCCACAAAAAACCTGCCACCACCTCATCCCTTTTGGCTTTGCCTGGCTCACAGCTGCCCACCCAGTCTTCCTGTCCCCAGGATTTTCAGGTTGGGAGTTCCGACATTCAGTGACAGGTACCTTGAGGATACTCACAGCCAGTGCCCCATGTTTCTGTAGCTTGCTATGCTGACTGACCTTAGCCTTCAGGGGCTTGCCTGCCAGCCTGTCTTTGTGTCTTCGGCTGCTCATGTGCTAAAAGACATGGACACAAACAGGTCGTGGGTTGAGGCAGGTGTCCCCCAACACAAGCTTCCTTACCCTTGTGATTTATAAGGGAGGAACTGAGGGAAGGGAAGAGCTAAGTCTCCCACTGTTGCCCACCTCATTCTTTTCCCCTTCCCCAAGTTTAGTGCTCTTCCCTTAGTGGTCATCCATCATCACTCAACCCTTCTCTACATCTTCCTTCCTACTCACCCCTCACAGCTCTGTCCACTCTTACCCAGCTCATGCCACTATCACCTCCCACCTTCCTCTCTGGCCACCCCAACCCCAACTCTCCCCAGCCTCTCCAGGGGTGGGAACCTGTGGCCTCGAGGCCATGTGTGGCCTTTTAGGTCCTGGGTGTGGCCTTTTGACTGAGTCCAAGTAATACAGAACAAATTTTCTGTGAAGTTAGGATTCAGTCAAAGGGCTGTACTTGAGGACCTAGAGGGCCACATGTGGCCTCCAGGCCAAAGGTTCCCCACCCCTGCACCCTTCTCACATCTTTCCTTCTCCCACCTGCTTGAGTTGGGTCTCAGAGTTGACGTGGAGCTGACAGAGGGCACAGTGGAAAGAAGGGCTTGGCCCCGGTTTGCCACCTGGGGCCCCTGCCACACACTTAGCCTTGTGCCTGGCCCCTCCCCGAGGCATAATTCGGCCCCGGCCCCTTCGAGGAGCTCCTCGATGGCCATCCACCATCCACTTGTGTTTGGCTCCTATGAGGGGAGAGAGATCCCATCAGAGCCCAATGATGGGAATACTGGGGCAAAGGTCTATGTCTGTCAAACCTGAAGGCCATCCCTTAACCTCCAAGATATTCTGTTCATCAAACCCACCTAAGCTAGATGACCATTCTCTGCCTTGTGATTAAAGCTTTTTCTCAACCTCCCTCATTATATACAGTGCCACATCCCCCTGATTCCTACCACCTTCATGCAGTTTTACTTTCTTTGTCCCCTGCCTTCTAATCTGTAGAGTCCATCTCAAAATAATGGTTCATTGCTTTCATTCATAATTGGAGAAAGTGCTAAATTTCAGTTAGAGGTTAGTGAAAATCAAGATGTAATTTTTTTCCTCCATCCAAATTCATAGGTTCCCTGAAATCTATCTACAGACCCTGCCCCCCCTCCAAGGAGGACTCCAGGTTAGGAACCTGGATTCTAGAGTCATAGAAGCCTTCTGTCCCTTGTCTTCTCTTTTCCCAGATCATTTGCCTCCAGAGATTGGAGGTAAGTCTAGGAGATATTCTTCCCCAGGGACACCTAGGCACACAAAAAGACTCCTGGCCCCCAGAAAGAAGAGCAGTGGGCAATCAGAGGATTAATACTGCTATACCTTTCCCACTCCCTGGCCCCCAGAAAGGGTAAAGAGCATAGATTTTCCTCCTTTTCTCCCCTTAGCACCCTACCTTTTTCACTCCCCTTCTCCCTCCCTTGCCATACCCCACCCTTCCAATAACTGACCTGTGTTATGGGCCTGAAGCTGTGAGGCTGAGTTGACAGTGACCTTACAGGTAGGGCAGTAGAGAGGGCCCTTCTCATTCCGGTTGTCTGTACCCACACTGCTTCCTGCCCCTACCTCCATTCTAGTACCAGGCATTTCAGCCCCTGGCCCTGGGGATGAGGGGGAACAGGAAGGGGAAGAAGACGAAGAAGAAGAGGCATCGGAGAGGTCCAGGCCAGCTGACTCCCTGGGAGTGGAGTCCAAAGTCTTCAGCAGAACTAAAGGGGATCCAGGAGAGGGTGCCAAGGGAGCTGATAAGACAGAGACCACAGGTCAATGGCCTGAGGCACAGACCCTGCTCCTCCCTCATAGAGTGTCTGAAGTGGTCTTCATTTGCATATTCTTGTATCACCCTTTCTATAGTCATTAAATGGCAAAATGAGTAGAAATGCCCAGCCCCTATTATTTGACCAGGTCAGATGGGGAGGAAAGAGGGTTGGTTAGGAATAAGCACACACTACTATACCCTTGTTCTGGGGTTCTCCAGGAGCTCTGCTATCAGGTGGGGTGGTAGGCGGACCAGTGGCTCTATCCCGGGCTGGAGTATAGGTCCTCTGCTTACTCTTGGCAGCCTCCACAGCCTTGACCTTTCTGGCATGTTTGTGACCTTTGTAATGAGCTTCAGCCTGGTTCTAGAGGAGAGCAGTAGGGCACGAGGGCACTGTTCATTCATTTACACATTTATTCATCACCCATTTACTGAGCACTAATCATGTATAAGATGGTGTTGGGCATAAAAGGTTCAGTAAAGCCCTCCATGATCTGGCTGCACTATACATTTCTAGCCTTATTATTAATGAGTCATTTGAGTGATTCAGTAAATAAGACTTCTGGACTTGGAGTCATGAAGACCTGAGTTCAAATGTTGTCTCAAACACTCAATAGTTGACCCTAGGCAAGTCACTTAACTTTTGTCTGCCTCAATTTCCCCAACTGTGAAATACAGATGATAATAGCACCTACCTCACAGAATTGTGAGGATCAGACAAGATATGTAAAGTACTTTGTAAACCTTAAAGTGCTCCATAAATGGTAGCTATTGTTATTATTTTATATGGTAATAGTTAAAATAGGTCACCCTTATAGAGTGCTTTAAGATTTGCAAAGCTCTTTATGTAAGATCCCATTTGAGCCTCACAATAACCAAGAAACTAGTTGCTATTATCCCCATTTTACAGATGCAATATCTGAAGTTAAACGACTTACCCAGGGTCACTCAGCTAGTAAGGGTCAGAAGTAGAATTTGAGCCCAGGTCTTATTAACTCCAAGTCCCGCATTTGATCTGCTGTATAGTCTTCATTCCGCAACCTAATATCCTGTCTCTGTGCATTGAAACAAATCAACCTCTAGGCCTGAAATGGAGCCTGTTGAAAATCTTTCTTGAAGACTGTTCAGCTTCTACTTCCTCCATAAAGTTTTCCCTGTCCTGCCCCCACTCCCACCCCCCCACCAATTCTTTCTCCCTCCTCAAATTTTCTTAAAACACTTTGTTTGAATCTCTCCTTTGTTCCTGTTACTTTCAGCCTCCTGTCATGCTTCTTTTAGTCTAAGTCCCAGAACCCCTTACTAGAGCGCTTCCCTTGATTGACAACATGGATAGGAAAATAGATGGAAATTAGGCCTTTTCCGTAGGAATTGAGGGGTATGAAGGGACAGGTGAGTAAGAGAATAGAGGACGACAGAAGTGAAAAATAGAGGAGTAGGGAGGGGTGTGGGCAAGGTAGGATGGGGTGAAGGGAGAAAACAGCATAGGGAGAGTGGAGAAATGTAGCAATAATTTAGGAATGCAGGAGATTATCCCAGATAACAAAGATCACAAGATGATAGATTTAGAGCTAGATGTTAAAGGCCTTTAAGTCTAACCCCTTCATTTTACAGTTAAGAAAATTGAGACCCAGAGAAATGAAGTGACTTGCATATGGTGAGTGGCAGAGGCAAGATTCAAACCCACCTTTTCTGACCCCAAGTTCAGCACTCTTTCCAAGTACCTGGGTCATATCCTCACCTTTCCCCTTTCTCCCAATTTAGCATCAAGTCTGGTTCCCAGTTTTCTTCCCTACACACCTGCCATTCCCACTAACAGCTCCCCATTCATTAGACCTTCTCCCTCTCCCTCCACTTAGCTCACCGAAGAGTTGAACCTCAAGTGGCAGATGTTACAGGAGATAAACAGCTTCTTCTTTATAGGGGAGGGGACTCCAAAAGTGTGACTGATTACTGCTTTCTGGACTGGGTCCATCTGTGAGGTGAGGTGGGGTGAGAGAGAATAGCAATTATGAGCCCTGCCCTCTCCCTAGCTGGGAGAGGGTTAAGTAGGAAGGCAATGAAGCACAGTGGGTGAGCTGCACAAGAACAGAGAGAAACAAAGGCAACAGAGGCATCCACCTTCCTGGGAAGCTGTTCACTGCAAGGACTTGCATCTAGGTTAGTCTGATGGGGCTGAGGAAGTCAACCTGCCTGGAAATAGGAGAATGACAGGGTGACCTTTCAGAACTCTGTGATTTAGGGAAATAAACTGTCCTGGTTACGGCATTGATCTCCCGTGCTACCTTTTCCACTTCTTCCTCTGTCTGTTTCACAGACACACACATGTATACACACAACAAAAGAACCAATAAGTATTGGAAAATAGAATATATGTGTAAAGAAGCAGAAAGGAGGTGAAGAAAGACAGCAGGGGAACTATGAAGTCTTCTGTTTGCTCTTTGTCTGAGCTGCCTCAACTCCAATTTAGCCTCTGTGTCCTGCCCATGGTGGGATGAGGAACTATCTTCTCAGCTTTGCCATTCATTATGAATGGAACAAAAAACTCCAACTCCTCTTACAGTAATATCTCCAGAGAGGGCACAAAGTGTGAAGATGAAAGCAGCCAGAGATACAAGGAAGAGGCAGCAGGGCAGCTTGGTATGGTGAGGGTGCTGGCTTTGGAATTCAAAAGTTCAAAACCTCCCTCAGATACCCAGGCAAGTCACTCTGATTCAGTTTCCTCATCTGTAAAATGAAGGCACTGGATTAGATGCCTCTCTAAAGCCTTTTTTTTTTTAGCTCTAAATCTACGATTACCTCCCATTTTCATATACACAGAGACACACAAATAGACAGATTTTCTCTCTCATTCTCCACCCTCCAGGCCCTGTTGTTGGTTAGAATAGGATCCAAGCTATTCACCACTTTAATTTGTCCCCTAAGTGAAAAGGGACCCTGGCATCTTCATTACCCTGTCTAGCTTGTCCCTTTGCAGAGATATGGAAATCTCATTTGACCTAGATTGATCTGTACAGTGAAGTTAGTAGGAATGAAGACATGTATATATGTGGGTACAGGAAACAGTGGAAGAAGAAGACAACTGATTTCCCCAGACCTGGAACAGAAAGGGAAACTAAAGTATCCAGGTCCCTTTAGCTGACCATCCCTACTCCCCTTGCCCTTGACCCTGCTATCCCTCTCCCCATCAAACCACCTCCCTCTCCACACACATACCGTGCTGAAGTTGGGGAAAAGGCTGAGTGGGGCTGCACCATTGAAGTGGAAGGTCAGGAAATGCTTGATGTCCAGTGGGGGCTGCAGAGGCCGAGCAGGCAGGGGCAGCGAGGCCAGCAGAGGGTTGGGGGAGCTGGAGGCTGGGCCTGGTGAGGGAGGAAGAAGGGGTAAAATACAGAATGGAAGGCTAACAGGGGCAAGCTCTGGACCTCTGCCAACTTCCACAGTTCAAATGGAAGCCAGGGGGCTGGGACTGTATTGTCTGTCCCCTTCTAAGAATGAGAATACTCACAGCCAGAGGCAAGATGTTATTTGAGGAGGAAAGAGGGATGAAGAAATGCCATTTTCATGACACAGATCCTTAATACACCCTTTGTCTCAGTTAGAAAAACTGAGGCTAGAGCCACCCAGGCAAATTCACTCACCAAAGTGTTGTGAGATAGAGATCAGAAATTAGGGGAAAAAAAGAAAAGATAGTATGAGTCCCAGTGCAGAGCTCTCCTACCCCCCCTCCCAAATGCTCACTTCCCTTTCTATTTATAAAGGAGTTAAATCATTGTAAAGAGAAACAACTCTAAAAGACTTAAGCACTCTGATTAATTCAATGACCAACCACCATTCCAAGGGACTGCTGATGATGCCCACTGCTGTGTATCACTTGACAGAGAGGTAGTGGATTCAAGATACAGAATGAGACATACATTTTTGTACATGGCCAATGTGGGGATATATTTTGCTTGACTACGAATATGTCACAAAACTTTTGTTTTTCTCTTTTCTTTGGAGGGAAGAGTGGGAAGCAGAGAGAAGAAATGCTTGTTAATTGAAAAATAATTTTTTAAAAGTGAATTAAATCACCTTCTTGCTCATTACAAGAGGCATGTAGTCAATTTGCCTATCTTCCACTTGATGGCACCTTTCCCCAAATGGGAAAAGGGAAGCAAGGTCATTTCTTCTTCCACTCTCCTCACCCCCACTCTCTCCCCATTCCCAGCTAACGCAGTAGTGAGAAGGTAGTATCCACAACAGATTCAGGAAGGAGGGATGGGAGTAGAAGTACCAGGACTAAGATTGAGTTTAATCACTGTCAGTCCATTTTTTTGAAGGGATGTGTGTATGTGTGTGTGTGTGTGTGTGTGTGTGTGTAAAAGGTTATCACACCCCTCCTTTAATCAGAGAGTACTTTTCTCCCTATCCCAGGGGTTCATACTTAAAAAGTATGTTCCCAAGGATAGTTACTCCCTTCCTATGCTTTCTTCACTTTCCTATTCCAGTATTCTTCAGATCAGTAGTCCAGACCCAATCTCTCTTCTTCCTAGTTTAACCAACACAATTCCATAAAAATTAGACATCTACTATATGACAGTCCCTGATGACACAGAGACTAAAGAAAGTCTCTGAGTTTACAGTATTTGCATCCTTCCTTTCATCTCTGACAAAGAATTTTTGTCTTCCTCACCTTCATGAGATAAAGCTACTATTTACCACCTTCTTCACAAGAGCCTTTCAGACCCTTTCCAGGTCCCTACCTGAGGCCTTACCAAATAGCTCTCAGCTCCCCATTTCTAGCTTGAGTAATCCCAACTCCTTTGAGCTCTTAGCAATCAGATGTAGGATGACTGAGAAGCCAGGTGCCAGGCTTCCCTCCTTCTCTTTAACCATATTTCTGACCCCTTCATTCCTTCACTCTCCATTCTCCTCCCAAGCAGATTCTTTAAACCCTACTATAACACTCTAATGATGGACAAAAGAAGGTTCACCAGTTGGGTTGTAAATCTCCCCTCCTTTACAAGATGACCTAGGGGAAACTCCAGGCCTTCCCTCCCCACACCAACTACTTAAAGGTATGGGTCATGCTGTGGTATCTGCATTTTCTTGTAAGTGGGCAAATATGGCATTGGCCCAGGCCTGCCTCATTCCCAGGTCCATAAAGGAAGTCTTTGGGGCCAAATGGTTGAGCATCAGGGCCTTTCATTCACACATCTTGGGCAGGGAGGAGAGGCAAAACACAGGAAGAAGTTTGGGGGAAGGAAGGATGGGCATAGGAAGAACTGCTAGTCTGGCAGAAATGGAAGACCCTAGTGCTGGGGCCAGGAGAGGAGTGGGGAGAACACTGGAGGAGCCTGGTCAGCTCTGGAGATCTCCCCTTAACCACAGAGGCGGTCTCCCTGGACTCGTTGAGGGACTACCCCACCCAGAAGATCATCTCTGAAAAAGAATCTTGGAGTGATGAGAAGGAGCTTCTGATGGGGCTCTAGAGGCAGCAGCTAGGAAACAGCCCTGTGGAAGAAAGAGGAGACAGCCCGCCTGGGTCCCTTCAATACACACACACACCATCAGAGACTGCAGAACGTTGGGAGTCAGGAGTTGGGATGGTTCTATTTTATTGTGTTCCAAAGCACTGGACTCAATGAAAGGTTGGAGAAGACTGTTGTTTACCACCCCCGCCCACCCCATCTCTGGCCCCACAGTAAGCAGCAGGGGAGAACCCATGACACTCACTGACATAACAGTTTACAACCTGGCTGGTTTCCCCACCCCACTACTACCAGTCCTGACTCCCTCAGATGGGGCTTGGGGTACTCTGCTCTGTTGGTCTTTTTTTTAGATGGGGGATAGAGGAAGCAGCAGTGCCAGCCATGGTGAATGTGTATTCAAGCAAGCTATGGAGAAGATATCCTCCCCTTTCATCTGCCCTATAGGAATGGGTATGTGTGTGGAGGAGAATTGGAATGGGGAAGGGGTGGAAGAAAAGGAAATGAAAAAAAATAGATCATATCTGCTTGGGTGAGGTTGGATTAAGAGCAGGAATTGTGATTTTTGCACTCTCTTTGGTCTCAAGGAGCTAGGGTGAAAATAAGAAGGGAGCTTGGATGGCAACCAAACTTTACTGTAAGGGGAAGAAGAAAATAGACAGGAATTTGTTCTTCCTGGAACTTTCTTGGATCCTGTCACAGCAAAAACCAAAACAGAAACCAAAATCCTCTTTGCGAGCATTGTCTCTAATTCTATAAAAGATAAGATATTTATTTAATATATCTGTGCATATATTTATATGTCTATGTACACCTTTCTGTACACAGATGCCCTTGGACATCCTGGGTCACAGGGGAGAGGGGGTGGTGAAGATAGGGACCTTACTAAGTCTTTTGGCTTTCCTGTACTTCTGAACAGACCCACTTCTCTGGCTAATGCTGAAGGCTTTGTGCAATAGAAAGGATGAATAGACTATCAGAGCTGGAGCAATCTTAGAAACCACCTAGTCTGACTCTCTCATTTTAGAGAAAAGAAGAAAGTAAGACTCGGTGAGAGGCTGTGCCTTACACAAGGTCGAGTTAAGGACAGAGACAGAACTATAATTCAGGTCTCCCGGTTCCCAATCCCATGTTCTTTCCTTTTGCCATGATGCCCTGAGCTCACTAGATCCCAGAGGGCTCTGAGCTAAATAGACAGGATTATCTTCCCTCTCATTCCCCAATGGGAAGATTACATTCTCTTCACGCTTCCAATTATTAATGTTCACGACAACAATGGAAATTTTTACCACATACCAGGGAGTTGGGAGACAAAAATGTTTAGCATAAAGCTTTGGAAAGGACAAGAGCACAGTGAATGTGCCTAAGTCCCCTCCCCAGCCTCTGTAACTTTCCACCTCTCAACTCCTTATCTTTTCACCTCCTGGCTCCTTATCCAGGCTATTCCTGAACCAAAACTGCTGAGCCTCTTCCCAGCCCTCGCCATTCCACATTCTGGGCAAGGCTGAGTTAGTATCAGGGCACACAGGATGCTAAAATAACAACAGGAAGGAATATAGGATGAGGTTATCCAAGCCAGGGGATAGTCCCTCACCCCAGCAGAAAAAAAGGTGTTACAATCCCATCTAGGAATCCAAAAGTCACACAAGGGAGACCTGTGTTAAGATATGAAAAGGAGATCTTCTCATTTGATCTGTGTGCCAAAAAATTCCACCCCACCACCTCCACTCTCAAACAACTCAATGGCCAAGGCAAAGTCAAATTCGTGGAGTGGGGGGCCATCTACTGCGATCTTCACAACATGGTTCCCCTGGATGTCGCCTCCCTCTCCCTTTCCCTGGTCCCACCACCGAAGCTCCCGGCTCCGAGCAACCTTGTCAAGAAGGCTGGCACCAGCAGGCAGGACCAGGACTAATGAAGCCAGGATGGCAAAGTCAGGAAAGAGCTCATGCAGCTCCGAGTGGGCACAGACTAGCTTGCAGCAGAGGTCTCGTGGGCCCAGCGGGCCCAAACTGAAGACAATGCGTTTAAAGAGAGGGAAGTCACTCAGTGCTCTCTCACCAACCACTACAGGGGCGTATGCCTGGAGCAATAACCGAAGAGCTCCTTCCCCATGGGCTCCTAGCTCTTCTAAGGACTGTGGATAGCGTCGAGAGTCGAAGATGGAAGCAAATGCAGCCACGATGTCCAGAGAGGGACCTGGGAAGGAGTCCCACAGCCACCTCCTCAGGGAGTCCAGGAAAGCCCCCCGGAGATCCTCAAAGCTCTGCATGGTTTCTGGGGAGCAGTCTGTCAGCTCCACCCCTTGATAGCAATAGCGGCTACCATTCCCGTTGCCAGCTGGGGTGGGGTTGTCCAGTGCCTGCAGGAAGCTTTGGAAGTGGGACCCATCTGAGTCTCTCTGAGCCTGCAGGGAGGCAGCAGTGGTAATGACCAGGGGTGGAAGCAGGGCCAAATCTGGCTCCTCAGGCTGAAGGAGGAGACTGAGCTTCTGCAGAGTGGGCAAAGTGTCCAGTAGGAGGTAGGTGAAGGCAATAAAAGTGAACTTCCGGAGGGCAAGGGCCAGTGACTGTGTAAGTGGGGAAGCAGGGGAAGTAGTTTCTAGCATGGGCACCAGGTGGGACCAGGAGGCAGCCACAGCTTCAACAGCTGGCAAGATTGATGCCCAGGGCACTCGCTGTGGCCCTGTCAAATTGATGGCTGCAAGGTCCAGTGCTGCCTGGAGCTCTGGGATGCCACGGGCCCCAGAGCTGCCATAGAGTCGAAACAGAGCATCCAGGACGTTCTCATATTCGCTGACGTAGGTGGGGGCTTCTGGGTGACCCCGGCTTGGAAGGCAATGGAGCTCGGCCAGCAGTGGGCAGGTGACCCGAAGTTTAAGGCCTAGGTCACCTAGACGCTCACTTGGGAGTCCTGAGCCAAGCCAGGCCAGCTTGGGTGCAGGAACACCAAAGGACTTCAGAATGTCCAGAA